TTGCTCTATTCTCCTTGGTCGCCATATTGACATCAAGCTTCTATGGCAACCAAGATGTAGAGGTTATTCTTCATATTAGACATGCCTTCCCACAGCCCTCCTTTTCATGCTTTTGCCTTTCTTTCAGAGCAAAACATTTGCATCCTTCAAGACACCTGCGAAAGCCCGTTCATTAGCTAAACAGTGGTGAATGTGTCAGATGGGAGCATGTTGAGGCTACTTCACACAGCCTGCACTGTTGCCAAGTGACGGTGATCTGGTTATCATTGCAGGGCTAGGACTGAACTTGGCTTCTTCTTGCTAGACCAGAAGTCTGTCACTGAGCTGCAATCCCAACCCTCTTTCTACTTTTTAAATTTTGACACAGGATTTCACTCACTTGCCCATTCTGGCCTTAAATTCAATCTGCAGTCTTGAAATTGTGATTCGCCTGCCTCAGTCACTAGGATAGCTGGGACTATGCCAGATGCTAATTTAAATCAATAAAAATTTAATCCTACACATGTATCTTTTCCTGTTTGTGGTGTATATGATTTTCTTTGTTGAGATTCAGAGATTGGTGAAATGGCTCAGAAAGAAAAAGTGCTTGATATTCATGCCTGACAAACTAGTTTGATTCCCATAACCCAAGCAAAGGTGGAAGAAATCAATACCACAGTGTTCTCCAATCATCACATGAATATCTTGACACACACACGTACACACACACACACACACAAATAAAGTTTTAAAAAGTTAAAAGCTGACTTTCAGCTGACTGTCTGTATCTTCATTTGCTAACCCTGGTAACTCTCAGGAATCTCCAAATTTAACAACTGTAAGGAGCCTTCCAATGAACAGACTCATGAAATCCAAGCAGATCCGATTGTTAATAGAGATAAAAGCTGACAATGTCTGGCTGTGATGGCTAAATTTATGCCAACTTGACTGAGACAACTGACACTAGTAGCAGATGGTAAGAAGTTTCTGAGTATTTTGATTCTGTAAGAGCTTAGAATTTCAGTCAGTAGACTAAGGCAGATCCATCCATCTTCAACAGTGCGAGGAAGCTGAATCTAATCCATCGAGTTAGTGGAACTCCAGCTTCTGGTCCTTTAAATTCTGGAAACTTGCACCGGCAACTAACTCTTGGGTCCTTGGGCCTCCAGTATAGGACAGAGGCTCAACTTACACCTTAGGCTCAACTCCCATGGTGTCTAAGATTCAGGTTGACCTGCAGCACTGGCCTTCATTGGTATCCAGCTTATGGGTTGCAGGTAATGTGACTTCCTGAGTTTCCATGGTCATATGAGCCCATTCCATAACATCTCTATATTAAACCTCTATATATTGTGGGGAGTTTGTTTCTGTTTTTGTTTTTCTGGGAAAACCCTAGTGCTTTTATAGAATGAAGGGACAATGGGCAACCATTCATTTGTCAGTGCTGTTAAGCAAGCTAATTTAGGCGATAACCTTAAGTTTAAATGATTCTTGCCTTTTGTGTTGTTCCATAAGCAAAACAAAAGCCAGCCAAACATCAACAGTAAAACAAGTGTTGGCCTTAATCAATATGAAGCCATCAAACTAACCTCTAACTAGAAACTTTTACTTTAACCAACCAAATGTATTTGATTTCATCCTTCTGTGAGCAGTTCATAAAAGTTACCCCTCATTGCTGCTTCAATCGACTCCAAACCACCTGTAGTTTGGAAATAACATATTCATGAATTTCTATCTATACAAACTGCTAAAAAGTTTAATGTGCCAACTATGTCTTTGAACACTGCCAAGTGGACAAATCTCCTCTCTCAGCCCATTATTTCATTTAATAGCATGAATGGCTTTTGATCTACAAGTCCTGCTTCCAGCAATAAGATAATGCCAGTTAAGAGTTTAGAAAAGGATTGTAAGGTGATAGTCATCTGTAACCAAGCTGAGGATCTCTGGCCACACAGTTCTCCATCTCCAGGGAGGAAAGAAGCTAGTGCCTATAGAGTAGATTTTTAAGAGGATCCCAGCTTCATGTTCTTTCCATGAGCTTCTAATTGAATGTCTGCCACATCCTGCTACTGAGATAGCACTGCCCTCTCTTCATACACGTGTATGACTGCAAAGCACATGATCCCAAGCACAGAAATGAACGGGGAAAGTGCACGTTCCAGGCTGTCAGCCATGGCCTGGGAGAGACGCAACTTGAATACCTGGTGCAGATCCTACATATATATTCATCTGCAACTTACTAAAAGTGTACATATGAGCTTGATATATTAACTGAGGATGAGTTGTAATTATATAGCATAGCAATGAGTATAGCAGACACTCACATCCTTGATTTAAACCTTTTGTTGTTTTTCTTAGGCTTTCTTTTTTTTTGAGAAAAGGTCTCACTATATAGCTCTAGCTGTCCCAAAACGCATTATGTTCACCAGCCTAGTACTGAAATTACAGAGATCCACTGTCTCTGACTACCAAGTACTAGGATTAAAAGTGCATGCCACTACACCCAGCCACATATTTGGTTTTAAATGCCATTCTCCAAAAAAAAAAAAAAAGGATTCAGAAATTCTTGGTGAAGTGCTTGACTCTGGGAATTGAACAGATTGTACATAAGGTAAGACTAAAACATCTTTTACTGTAGTTGTTTAAGGAATGGTCTTGCTATGTAGCCAAGGCTAGCCTGACAGGATAGATTCTCTGATATTAGAAGTATGTACCACTATGCTTGGCTAGAGCGTCTAGTAGTGAAAAAACATAGAATATAAATTCCACAACTCAGGCACATGAATTCAATACAGGAGACCTCTGAAAGACCTCTAAATGACCAAAGAAGAAATAATTAGAGCAACAAAACATGTGAAGTAGTTTTACATGGCAATAAGTGGAGTGCATGGACAAATGGAGAAGAGGCAAATACCTTGTGCAAAACAATTACATATAATTTAAATACCCTTTCATTAAGATAGAGCCTAAGTCCCCATTCTGAAAGTATAGGTGGCCAAGAGTGACTATTTTATAGGGGAAAGATTTGCGCGAGAGAATTTTTTTTTTAAAAAAAGCAACATCTCATAAGGAATCCTGTCCTTCCTCCATCCAGATATGAGGAAAGAGATATCTTGATTGAGGGAGCCATTATGGGATTAGCGAGAAACCTGTCTTTAGGAAAATTCCCAGGAATCCACAAGGATGACTCTAGCTAAGACCCTAAGCAATAGAGGAGAGGGTTCTGAACTGGCCTTGCCCTGTAGTCAGACTGATGATTATCTTAAATATCACCATAGAACCTTTGTTGAACAACAAATGGAAACAGAGACAGAGACCCACATCAGAGCACTGGACTGAGCTTCCAAGATCCAGTTGAAGAGTGGAAGGAGTGAGAGTATGAGCAAGGAAGTCAAGACCATGAGGGGTTCATCCACTGAGACAGTTTGCTTGAGCTAAAGGGGCTCACCAACTCCATCTGCACTGGGAGTTGCATGGGAACAAACTAGTTCCTCTGAATACGGTTGACAGTTGGATCAAACTGAGGGGCCACTGATAGTGACACTGAGATTTGTCTCTATTGCATGTTCAGGCTTTTGGGGATCCTATTCCCTTTGTATGTATACCTTGCTCAATCTAGATGTAGTACGGAGGGCCTTAGATTTTCCACAGGGCAGGATACATTGCCCTATCTTAGGATTGGAGGAGGTGGGGTGGGAGGGTCAGTGGAGAAACTGGGAGGGGAGTAGGGGGAAGGGGAGGGAGTGGGAATTTGGATTGGTATTTTTTAAAGTAATAAAATAAAATAAAAAAGAATCTTGACGCACCCTACATCATCCTGGTGACGAAAGTTCATTTAACATGAATAGTGTTAAGTGAGATGAATTACCTGTCATCTTTATATGATGTGATGAGAAATGACATTTTCTCTATTTGGTATTTCCTTATGAATTCCAATCACAGTACATGCAAACATAGGAAAAACTGAAAGCAAACAAAAATGTGGGGTAATCAATACATGACAAGTTCTCGAAAACTAGTGAGGACAGCGAAACAAGCAAAAAGGTTTCCTGCTTTCTTGGGCTCTAAGTTTCCTGGAGGGGCTTGTGGGAACAAACAACCAAGAAAGAGAGTGCCCATGAATCTCACGGATTATCAAGGCCCAAATGATAACAGAGTACTCAACCGAGGGGAAGATAATATTATTGGAGTCAGAGTAGGACTCTCTCCCTGTTGTTGGGTTAAAGGATTCCTTTGCTAAGCAGGGCCTCCAGATCACCATCACCATCAGCAACAGTGTCCCGAGAGAATGGAAGAACAGTACAAAAAAGACATAGCACCATGGAAACATGGCACAGACTCAGTTATTTGGACTTATTCCTGAGTACCGGGGAGACCTCCCTTGACCCAGCCACAAGTGTCTGACCAAGTTCCTGACTATTATGCAGGGGAAGAGGCAGGATCAAGGCACAACAGTTCTCATTCTCATGCTTCCTGCGCTCCTCTCCACACCCCTGCATGGGAAGATGTACCCCCATTTCACAGGTGCCAAGGCTCTGCCTTGCAGCAGTAAAGGAGAGATGGATTCTTCCATCATGGAGCCCCGGGAGTAACCCAAATATGACCTCCTAGTTTACATCCAGAAGGAAACATGCACCACCTACACCTTTCCATCCACAGATGTGACTAGCTCCCAATTCCTGTATCTTACGCCCAGAAGGAGCAGTCGTCCTGGGAGACAACAAACTATTGAGAAAACAATAAAGGAAGACACAAGGAAGTTTCAGGCTTGTTTTCTCGGTGCACACTGCTGGGTGTTGCAGTTTACAAATGTGGGCTGATGCTCAAATGAGGGCTCTGTGGCTCATGGACTTTAATTTGACTTTGCACTCTGAGTATTTTCCCAGGCAGGGAAGGAAATCCACTACATGAGAATCAGAACATGGCAGACATTGGGTCAAACAGGCTGCAGCGAAAGAGAGAAAAGCCTAAACCGAAGCAGCAGCATAAGGTCAGGGCGCTATGCAAATGCTGCCCAGGAACTAAACATAAGGGATGTCTTCAATGTCCCTTCGGGGGACCCTGCAGCCACCCCTGAGTTCCCTTGGGCCCCTTGGGTAGAAGGGATCCTGCAGACTTCTTTGCATCCCAAACATCTGCCCCATCTTCTGCTTGTTCTTTCTCTCATCCTCCTTCACCCTTGCCATGTTGTCAGATTCTCTCATCTTGTCTTCATTGCTGAAGCGCATGCCTTGGATGGCCTCTTTATACTCCTTGAGGCAGTGGGCCAGCCCCTTGTTGGTTTTTCTTTTGGCCTTTCTGGGCCTGTGGTCCTCAGCTGGGCGCTTTCCTGCAGGGGCTCCCTTTACTTTCTGGCTTTCCCTGTCTCTCTGGACTTCCTTCCTGTTTTGCCCTTTTTTCAGGCTGTGGCTGCTCTTGGCGCCATGGCAGCATCCCCTCATCTCCTGCCTTTGCCTGCTTTTCTGACAGCTCTCTGTCTCCCGCAGAAAAAGCTGCTTCTGACTGTCTCTCCTCCTGTGACTCTGTACCATTTTCCACTGTCCTTGCTTTGAAGGCACTCCGTCCTTCCTTCTCACTGGAGAGTTTGTCCATGTCCAGATTTTTATTTTTCTGTCCTTGGAGAAGAGGTGTGGGTGGGGTGGGGAAAAAGAGAAAATACAGAAGACATGGAGGCTGAGGAGCAGGCACGGCAGACACGTTCATCATAGCCTTTGCAACTTGCCCTTGAGAATTGCTCTCCACCTAAGCCTGTCTGCCTTCCAAGTGTGCCTGCTGCCTCCAGCCCACCTCACAGGTGAGGTAAACTTACCCCAGCAGACTCTGCCACCTTCCCTGTGCTCCTTCACTGTGACAAATACTGCGAAAGAGGGTGGGGTGCGCAGGGGAGCCCCAATTCTGCCTGTGAGTCTGTCCATGCTTCTGCTGTACACCGACCTGCAGGCATCCAGAGCAGGTCGCACCTCCTTTCCGGGTGTCTCAGCAAGCAGACAACAGCAGACTCAAATATGCACTGACAGGACAGGGGTCAGGGGCTGTTCACTCAGTGAACAGTGGGGACTGGGAAACTGTTCTGGATTCAGGACCTGTCCCCCTCCATCCCTCCCTGCACTCCAGCCGCCATTTCTTTTCAGGACTTGGTTCAAAAGGAGAACGCTCTTCTAACTATTTTGGGGTCTGTGAGATTCTCTGACCTGGCTAAAACTCAAGAGCCCATCTTGGCGCTGAACAACTTTTCGTTCAGAAATGTTTGTTTTTCTTCCTTCCTTCCTTCCTTCCTTCCTTCCTTCCTTCCTTCCTTCC